ATTATGTGTCAATTGGGTGCTCTATATTTCTACATTGTTGTATAATAACAAATTCAATTTGGGTGTAACATGATTGTTAATAAACAACTTATTGTGTTATAGAATCAGGAGGCGTTGTTGAATCCTAGAGATAGAGAATCAGGACTAAACAAAACACACATTTGCGTAGGTGTAGTGTGGGAAGGCAAAATTGGAATATTGAATTTTGGTTGGGTTGCATATTTATATGTTTTGATGGGATCAGATTCTGATATTGGTTTGGGTATTTCAGATTCGAGCTTTACCTAGTATCTCTGCTTGTAAATACAAACGTAGGTAGCATCATAGATAAAAACAGTTCATGAATATTTTGCGACCAGTTTCCTTTTTTTACAATTCGAAATAAAATTCTCATGGGAAACATTTCTTCGTTGCTATGACCAATATTGCTTCGGGTTGTATTCTTGTTTATTATTTTTTGTTTAGGAAGTTTGATAGGGTATTAAAGCATGCATAGCTGTGGGCAATAGGTCGAGACACATTTCAATTTTAAGTGTTTTCCATATTTTTATCGGAGGACATTCGCTGTATAAAACTACTTGTAATTACTTACATTTGTCAGTTAAAATAGAAAATAAATAATTACATAGTGAGTGATTGTTAAAGTTATAGAAACCAAAATAATCGTATTATCTTGTATTAATATTATTAGTTCCTTCGCAAACTGCAACTCTTTGTACCACATGGGTTGTTTTCATTTTCCCATGGCTTTTGCAGCCTGATCAGTTTAAAAGCTTTGAGGTTTGTATCAAATACTTAGTTTTATATTCTTATACTGTCCTATAGATAATATCTAAGAAACATTGAAAAAGTAGACGTGGTTGACAAGTGAACAGACAAGAGAGCATCTTTTCAAGTTTCTATTTTCTTTCTTACAGAAAACTCTAAAAATGGTCCGTTAGAGACATTTTCTGCTGTCAAGGACATTTCTCTAGCTGACAACTATCAATATCACTATAAAAGCGTTCTTTTTCATGTTTTCAACAAAACTGTTGCTACAATGCTCTTTTTCTTTATACACAAGGCTTTTCTTTACTTTGTGAAGCTTGATATGTGAATTATCTTTTGACTAGTTTACAAAATTCAGTTAAGTACAAAATACTTTAATTTTGAAAGAAACTTACTGTTAAGAAACATTATTTGCTTTTATTTTAATTATTGATAAAAAATCAATTTTTCTATTAATTAAATGAAAGCTTTTTAAGCTTTTCTTTTGTATTTTACGATCCAATTCCGGGTAAATTGCAATAAATGCAACATGTAACAACAAGTTATTACTAGTAATAAGCGAACACAATTAAATTAAACCTGATACTCTTATTGATTAAATACTTACAAAAGTTTACAATTACTTTGCTTTTGCGCGTGGTTATAATTAAATTTTACGGTGGCATCATCTGCAGTAGATGCTAATTAAACGTATATTTCGCTAATGCTCTCTGCTGTTGTTCACTGAACATCTTTACTCCTACAACAAGTTTGCATTCTTTCTTAATTGAAATATTTTTGTTGCGTATAATTTATTTCAGTCAGCGCCACTTTTTTCGCTTTCGTTTTATTCCAGTTTAGTAAACCAGCTTACAAATATATTCAATATTGAAACACATTCGGAGTTTCCAAAGTTATGAATAAATATTTATTTTAAACATTGATGCCATTCGACGACCAAACCAAACAGTTTCAGCAGTTGATACGGGAAATGTTTACATACATAAAACAGGAAGTATCAATTTAATATAGGTGGATCTGACTTAAATGAAATATTTATTTATATTGAAATGTATATATTATATTTGTTTAGATATATTTGATTTATGTTTTGGGAATACTGTGTAAATAAAGTAAATAAAAAATAAAAAGAAAAAGAAAAGTGAAGGTAATTTTTATGTTCAATTCTCCGAAAGAGCAATTTTTGTGCGCAAAACGGCTAACAACTGGGCATGCTTTCAACTTTTTACAATTTTCTTTATGTGCCTTTCTATTGTTATTTGTGAAAGACACTTGAAGATAAAAATAGTACTGAATAAATATGAATTCAAACATATTGCATATTGTAGCAAAAACACAATAGATTTTAGTTTTTTTGTATTTTAGCTTAGATTTCTATCTTTTTTGCGTATTATTTGACAACTTATTTGTAAACTTTTCTAAATCAAGATCAATATTTTTGATATTTGTTTTTTCTTTCATTGGTTGTTATAACAATATTAAGTTTTTGATTTTTATATGTAGTTTAGATTTGTAGTACTATGTAAGTTTGTACTAAAAAATTAAAGATAGTGTGTTTTAATAGTGCTTAATTGCTTTAAAACGCCAATTTCGGCAATAAAAAAGCTGTGTTTAGGTACAAAAATCTAAAATTTCAATGGTTTCCATTATTTATTTGATGCATATAATATTAGTATACGTTTTTTATTTAATTATAACAACTATCTTGTAGAAATTACATTCATTTTCAAATTTTTATTTATTTATTTTTTTTTTGTGTTAAAACGCTTTTTATAAATCTGAATTTTTTCTATTGATAGCACAATCATTTCTTTCCACATTTTTCACTAATATAAAACGAAATTTCACAAATTTAACCGTAAACCCTAATTGTTAACCATCAACTTAATGCAGAGATACTTTTATCATTTCTCATCACACCCTCATAAATACTCTCATTGTTCGGATTCTCTTGTCGGACTGCGTGTTACATTAGGATAATAGAAGTTTGCGTTACAATTGTTCACAATCGTGCGTTTTATGAATCAGGCAACGGTCAAAAGCAAGTCTTTTATCCCCAAATCCTTGAATTCATTCGTGCGCTACCTTAATTAACACATCTCCTGCACTACCACTGGACAACTAAAGTAAGCCATAAATCTTGGTCAGCACGATTTTGAAATGCGTTATTTATCACTTTTCATAATAAATTAATTGAAACAATATTTTAGATTTCAGAGATACAACCTATTAATTAAAAGACAAAAGAATAAGAAACTAACTAAATATATATTCTGGTGATGCATCGCGGTAAGATATTAATAAGAGTTTTATACGTGGGAGTTTCTTATGGTTTCTTATTGCGTGATGCACAATATCTAATATAAGAAGCAATAAATCCCCGGGCGGCATAGGGTGATGTAGTAATAGTAACTCTTGGAATGAAAACTAAGTAGCCGATAAATACGGTTCGGAAGAATAGCTTTGGGCGGACAGTCGTAAAATATGGAATTATTATTGATTGGTGACATTATTAACTTTGATCGAATGACATAATTCATCACTCAGGGGGACTTAAGTTTGCTTTCAGAGTCAAGTGCGGTTTATCACAAATTACAATGCATATTTACAAGAGTATTAAGTTACAGAAGTAAAAGCATTAAATATGAAAGCAAATCAATATTTTAATAAACTTTTATTATAATAATAATACCACGTTTTTTTAAATTGAATTAAATTTTGAAAATATCACGATCGTAATCGTTACGTGGGTAGCAATGATCAAGTCTAAGTAAAAATCAATTAAAATATCTTGTTACTTCATAGATAAGACACAATAACAACATTTTCCTAGGTAAAATGTAGAAATCCATATTTTTATAATATTACTAGTGAACCCGACAAACGTTGTTTTGCCATATAAATTATTTCTAGTTTCTAGATAAATTCTAGTGTAGACAAAAAGTAACTTACTTATTGTAAGTGTGTCAGTATGTAAAACTACCGGGAAATTACCGGGAAAACGGGGAAAAGCTGAGGTTTTCTTTTTTCAATCGATTAACGAAACAAATTCCGCAGCCTTCTTCGACTTATTTTTGATTTATTATTTTATATGGTGTTTTGTGCAAAGTGTTTTCTACTGAGTTTTCTTTTGTCCACTGACAAACAAAACAAATTCCGCAGTTTTCTTTGATTCATTTTTGTTTGATTGTTTCATTTCGTATTTTGTGCAAGGTGGTTAATTATCTACGATCACTAAGTTTTTATTGCATGTGACACAATTGGGGTGTTTTAGTGGGTCCCACTAATATAATTTGTCCTTGAAAGGGTGGCGAAACTTCGTGGAAGCGCCCTGTCAACGGGGAGACTGTTCTGGTCAGGAGAATTTTTTTGCACCGACTATAAAATAGGGAGGAACAAAATCTACCACATTCCAAAATTATTTAACCGAACGAAGTCTGTTGGGTACGCTAGTTATGAATAAAACAGTAATAATTAATAGTTAATCTGAGAGTTACACTGAGATAGCAATATGATAATTGTAAACGTTACTACTACACTTGATACATATACCATAATGATCGAAAACTGTGTAGGGAGTGAGAGAAGTCTTATTGTGTGCGTGAAACAGGAGACCGACTTCAGTCTCATTCCTTCGAGCGGGATGAAAAAAAATTAAATGACCAAAATATAGGGGTTGGTAATAAAAAAGTAAATATTTAGAGTTGTATGTATTTTTTTAATGCCACATTATATAAAAATAGAAACAAAATTTTTAGTCCAAAATTTAAAAAAAAATAAGGGTGAACAACCCTTATCACTTAGAGGTATAAAAAATAGATGTTAGCCGATTCTCAGACCTACTGAATACGCATATAAAATTTGGTAAAAATCGGTAAAGCCGTTTCGGAGGAGTATGGAAACAAACACTGTGACACGCAAATTTTATATATATAGATTCAACAATTTAATAAATTAATTTATTTTACTGACCAGTTTATGTAATTTTAAATATTTTCAGTATTCACATTTTGCATTCTATTGAATGCTTTTTTGCTTAATTAATTACCTAAAACAAATTTTATCTGCATTCATGTAGAATTTAATGAGGAAGCCAATTATAAACAATACAATATTTTATCTGTAATTGGTATTTTTTTAATTAATTAATTAATTAATTTCAATAATTAATAATTTTTAGTTATTTTTTACTGAATCTTGCAAAAGTAACATATTAATGAATTTTTACTTACAGAAATATTTCTTCTTTCTTGTATTTCTTGTTTTTTTTTTGTTTTTGCTTATTAATTAACGTTTAATTATTATCCCACAGCTTCATAGCTTTGTCTTTCAGTCATAGTTAACAGCTTAACAATTATACAATGCATTCAGAAGGAAATCCACACTTGAACCACAAAGTTAATTGCACCATTCTCGCGCACCGGATGTTCGCATACGCACAGAAGACAAAAGCGGGTGCAAATTGTCAACATCGAGCCGCTGCATTAAATCCAATTAAACAACTTCATTTCAAACTTAAAATTTAACACACACAAATTTAAAACTGTTTATTTTGGTTGTCTCTAATCACGTTATAATTAAATTAGTTTTTGCTTTGGTGTATCACGTCTTAAAATATTATACCGTACGGATAAATTGTTTATGTCCTAATTAATCCACTGAGGGTTAACACATTAGTTGTGTGTATGTTCGCGTGGTTCTCGGAGACGCGAGCCGTGAATGTGCGGCCGGCACTCGGCTCGGCTGGGTCGGCGGCGTGGTTTTCCGTAGACTGTTTCAAATTTCCCACGCAGCCGCCACTCGACGGTGGAAAAACGCCGCCTCATACTGTCTCGCACCGCCAACGCATGCGTTTCCCAATAACCTATATACTAGTAAAATGCTCTGTATTTGGAAAAAAATATTTGCATAAGTAATTGGGGGCGTATTGTAAATTCAAAATGCATTTGTAGTAAAATTTTATGGAAAATAAAATATTTGTTATCAAAATATGTGAGAACAAATATTATCAGAATAAGTTGTATACTCAAACATATTCCAATTATAATTGTTTTTAATTAATTTTATAACAATATGAGTTATGTTGGTATTATTCTGTTCGTAACATGTAACAAATACACTAAAGGCGGTTTTATGTTGTGCAAAAATATATTAAATACATGTTGAGCTATGATCTAATTTAATTAATAAATTTTATATAATTTTGAGATGTTGATCCGTTCAGAAGTTACTTTTTCAACGATAGAATATAAAACTATCGTTTAACGATCAGTTCAGAGGCTTCAGAGAGGATTCCCCCTTCAGAATTGTTAAAATTTTGTCATCCTAGATAAAATTATTTTATTAATTTTAAATTTAGTTCTTTCAATTTCAGGCAATTTTGATTCAGTTTTCTTAATTTCCGCATTGTTTACCATCAATTTTTAGTTTTTGATTATTCATCAAATCCTTTATTTATTTTTTTAATATTAAGTTTATATGATGCTACTGATGAATCCTGAACAGAGTGTAGGTACTAGTATTAAACTTCGTGGGTGTTTAATTATGTTCGGAATAGCTTTACGCCTTTGCTTAGAATTGGTATTGAATATTAATTAAATTGATTACAGCTTTGCAATTTGCATGATCACGGGCAATTAATTCGACTGCGCCCTGCATACCGGACCAACGCGATTTTATCAATTTGAAAACAAAAAGGTTGGCTTTCAGTAGGCAGTCCGAAAATTAACATTTTATGTAAATTCACGCTCCTTGAGCATTTTCATTCAGGTTTTCAGGTTTCACATTGCACGATTTTATTATGTTCATACTAATTCATTCTATTCCAATACATGTCTAGTGATCATTCATAAAAGTTTAATATATGTTAAATTTGTCATGTGTGATGTGGGTAGCAGTCAGGTGTAGGTACGTAGGTCATTCGAACAGTTTCATGGAAACTCATTCAAATGCGTGTTGACGGTGTTGACCTACGGTGTGATGTGCGGTGTGACAATGCCAACACATTTCTTGTGGTTGGATTTCAGCACATTGTATAACGAGTACAGCATGAATGACAACAGGTCAACATCGCTGTTTGTTACATTGCAACTCGTAAATCCACGAACGTAAATCAGTCATATGTGATATGTTTTAGTTTTAACATATATGGTTAAAACTGATAATATGGTAACTTTTGAAATTTTGATTCACACAAAATCAATCCCTAGGGAATCGACAATAAAAAATATATTTTGTTTTGGTGATATTTTTATTAAAATTTATGAAATTAAGAAATATAAAAATATTTTGTCCCGTTTATATATGTTGTATTCCGTCCGGCATAATTTTAATTAAAATTGAATGCAAACATAAACCTTTTCGTTACCCCAAGTGAACTAATTAAAATTTTAACTGGTTGCTGCGTCTGCCATAACAAAATATAAAAATAACTTTGAAAAATATTTTCGTGCAGAGTTTACGCAACAATTGCACATTTAAATATAACACAAAGGGTCAAATAGTCAGAATCAGAACACATTTTAATTAAACAGAATGTTAATTTCTCTCCCTACTCTTCTATAAATGAAATTTTGACGTTCCTTAGAATCAGTCTTCGTCGTCAGACAACGAGCAATGATTAAAAACGGAAAGCGGTGTAGCCGCACCAAAATCGTCAATATAATCTGATGTGATGCGTTTGCGACGAGCTTTTTTCGGTCGTCATTTAGGGGGAATATTAATCACGTAACGAAAAAGGCAACGTGCTGCTACTCACTCAAGAGTAATGGTCGATTGCGCAACAAAGACGTTTTCCTAATGGAAATTTATTTGCTTTTCGGTCTTGAACAAGATTAGGCCGACGGTTGTTAATCCGGAAACAGCTTTTCAAAAACAAAACAAATAAAACAGGAAATGTGCTGTTATTCTTTTAAAATCCGAAAATATTTACATTAGAAAATGAATATTTTAACATCAGAGACTCGTTGACACTTGTAGACATCACACACAACAAAATCTGAGAAAATCTGGATAAAAACTATGTACGTGTCTTTTGTGACAATGCAAATAGAGGAAAAAGTTGCAAAACGTCTATGCTGATTCCGGAAAATACGATATTACAGCAGGAATATGATGTGCGCCTAGGAAGACGTTGTCCTTTGGGGATGAAATGCCATGCGCTCGTAAAAGAACACGTACCGGCCAATTTCGCGTCGAAAATGAGCCACGAGCCGACGCATAAAATGCACGCATCCGAACCAACTGAGCAACGCAAGAAAAACACGTTTTACGAGCCTGGCAAATGTTGATAAGGCTCCATTTTACGCATGAATAAATGTCCACCGATTAGACTCACCAGAAAAAAAAATCAGAAATGAAATTGCAGCAAGAAAAATTATTTTATTATCAAACGGCAATTAAAACTATTTTACGTCCGTAAAAAGTTGCCTACATTTGTATATATTTTAATACACTGACGTCATTCCTCAACGTCCATTCTGTGTCATAAACTTTTTTTCATTTTTCATTGCATGCGGCTGAATTAAACATAAAAATAAAATGTCATATTTCCGTTGGGTATGAAAATATCCATGAGTTAACTTCGCATTTGAACACGTTTTGCACACATGCAACCCACAATCCAGACCCAACCCTTGGTATACAAACAGAGTTGATAAAGATATACGCCCGGCTGTAAACGAAACGAATTTATAGTGGAAAATGTTGGTAAAATTATGGAGACATCTCCCTGAGTGCCGTCTGCAAAGTTTCCAGCGAATGTGGAATGACTTTCGCAGCGTTTCGCTAAGCTTTTGAATGACACGTTAACGTTAAACCTTGATTTCTGCCATCTCAACATTAACTCAAACGAATTTGAAGCAGGAAGTCCTGCCGATGTGACTTTGTTCCGCTTGAAACTTTTCAACATGTGTTTGACGTACTATCACATTGTTCCCAAACTGGCGCTGTATGTTTATGCGAAAACTTGGGTACAAAATAGAATTTTCTCTTCTCAATCAACGTTAACGTACTTTCGCACGACACGAATTCGGTGTGTGAATTTAGGAAGATTTAGGAAGCGTATCACAAGTAAAACTTTACGGATATAAGGAGTGAGGATATGTCGAACACAGGATAGTTATGTCGACGCACGTAGGAACCTAGGTTCCTAGGAACGCAAGGACACACGCCACGAGGAAATCGAGATGAGATGCCTTAAATGTCAGGCGTGGCGTTTGAAGCAAAATTAGATGCGTGAGTAGCGTGTGAGAGGTGCGTGAAGTGCGCGTGTGGTGGTAATTAGTTCGCACTGTAATCTTCGGCAAATTCTGCTAGACATTCCGCGCGCGTCGATTTCGGCGATAAGCCATTAATGCTAATCTAAACATGCGAAGAGCGAAATTGAAACCGCGAAGGCACAGCTGATGTGCGGCAATAATTGACAATGTCGGAGGTATAAATGATATGAATTAATTATTTCTGATTTTCGGGAATGCAGACATTTAGATTGGAAATCTGAAGTTAATTTCTTAATCAAAATACATAACTTCATCTTAAATTTAAAAGTAACTGGTAAGTAGATAGATTTAACGTGTTGATTTTAATAAAAATTAGTTTGATTAATTGTTTTCTTGTTTCTTTGACTTATTATGTCTCTAATTATTCAATAAAATCCTCAATTTTAATTTAAAGAAATAAAAAATGTTAAAATGCATTTTTGCGCCATCTCAGATTGAAATATATAAGTATAATTATGATAGATTCTTTGAGTGAACTTAGAGCTCTTATTTTACACCTTCAAAATATTATTTTTGCAACAAAAAGTAGTCTATCTCGTATTTTAATCAATAAACAATGCTATTATAAAGTGGCATCAAAATTGATTCAGTAATTTATGCGTGAAAGAGTAACAAACATACAAACTCACATTTATATTTAAAATAATAGAGAAAATGTAAGATATGCAACTTTAATATCATATAATCATGACGGAATTGAAGATTTCTTAAATGGAGCAACCACATCTGCTGCATTAAAAAGACGCTCAAAATTTCACCCAGGATAATTCATCCTTATCGATTGGACCGTCGCTCCACAATGGCAAACGGAACCGGAATTCAAATTCATTACCATTTCCACCAAATTGAAATTGGAGGGTTTTGCACATCTTGAATTGATACATTGTGCATTCATCATTCACATTCACTATTACTTAAATCGATAGTAAAAGCGGATATTCAAGCGAAAGTGCTACCAGCTTTCCCTTTCAGCTCGTTCCAAATTGCTGCAATAACAATGTGGATGAAATAATCTCCGTAACTCTCGATGAATAGAGTGATAACAGAGTGTAAAACTGTTTTATTTAAAATGCTTTGTCTCTTCGGGGTATTGCTTCAATGGCTTCGCGATCGTCGTTATTTACGTTCGGTTTCCTCTTGGGATTCACAGCTAATTAAACATCGTACGAGTACGAGCACAATCTGTATCTGGATACGAACGAATACCAGTATAAAGGATGTTGAGAGTGTGCGCAGTGCATTTATCTCTTTCACACACAAACTGTCAAAACTCTTGAAATACGCGTCTTAATTTGCCATGTATAATATAAACATGGTGCTTTTGAAAGGATGACGAATATCAAAATGGGTTTTGCTAATAAAATCGCTTTGCTTTTGTGCTTACTATCGCGTCTCGATGGCGATAAAATTTACGCAGAAAAGCATGAACTCATAAAGTAAAAGGGTGTCAAAGCAGGCGAGCATAAGCACAATGAGGAATTCGGCAGCGAACTGTGACGACAATGTGTG